GAAAGTGAAGTTGAACAATAAAACGGCCGACAGAAATAAAATTGTAAGAAAGCAAATGCACGCAACAAACAGTTCAATGCTCATTCATATAATGCTTTTTTATGTTTATTTATTGACAAAATTCTAAAAGCTCCTCATATAAAAAACTTAAACGCTTTTCCACTTGTTCATTTATATTCTATGTTTGTAAGCATCCTCATATGTTATTTAAAAAGTAGTTCTCTTCGAAATAGATGAATTATTTAATTAATGATGCTTTAGTTGCTTATTTGGCTGCTACTTCTATTTTATTGTATTAATTTTATCATTATTTTATATACATTGTAGCTTATGTATATTACTAGAGGTTAATAAAAATATCAAATAAAAAACTGCCTATTTATTTTGTTATTAATATTTAAGCTTCACTAAACAACTTAATTAATATCCAGTGAATTACGCCAATTTTGATTAAACCAAAAAAATCCAATTATGTACGGTAAAAAACTTGCATGTTTAAGTCAGTAGAATCAAACATGTAATTAATTAGGCATGATTAAAGCACAACAACAGTTCAAATAAAATAATAAACCTAATAAAAAGTCTGAACAAATTTTATAATTTGAGTCACGTCCAAACTCAGCTCAAACTCAACAGGAAACTAAATAAACAAGCTTGAACAAGGCAATGCTATACTCAACGCGATTTATTTACAGCCCTAGAGTGAATTTATGAGTTGGCTATCTTCAAGTGGGAGTTCCTACTGAATTTGACTTGACTTCTAGATATTTTTTTTTCCTTGGATCTACAAGTAAAGATCAAATTTGTAGTATGAAAACAAGTTTTAAAGAATGAAAATCTGAGTTCACGCTACCAGAACTTCCTTTACTCCAATACCCATTGGTTTCCCCTCTCCATCTCTATTTTTGATGACCGGTCAACATAGTAGCCATCTCCAACACCTACAACCACATGAATTCAATCTGCAACAGCTGTACACTGCCTACAACGGCCATCTTCACCTTCTACAGTCCCTCAATCTAAAACCATCCCAGCCACTCAATCTAAAACCATCCCAGCCACGGGAAACCTATTCCAGCACATGTACAGCGGTTATTTGCTCCCTGATTTGTTAAAAACAGCAAGGTTTCTAGATTTTGATAACAATGAGAAGGTAATTATACCTTGAGGTATTTCATAGAACTTAATTCCCTTTATCCTAGTTATTTTATATGTGTTCCAAAAATCATTTGTATACCCAAATCTGAATCATTATATAGCGACCAAAATTTGGCAAAAATGAGAAGGCAACAGACTTTCTGTCCCCGCCAAGGTTTCTCTATAAAAGAAATGAGAATGATTTTTAAGCTAACGAGTGTATAAAATGCTCATCTGATATCTGAACATCCTGCCTGAAGGAGTTAGAACTTAAACATTCAATAGACTAATGGAAAATCCTAAACCTTACAGCATAATAAGTTTCAAATTCAGGGTGTAGAGGTCTTCTATTGAAGTATAATGTTTAATTGAAGAGGTATTTCTCGCAAAAGCTCTACATTAATGGTCAGCAACTCTAGAGAAACTCATTGCATTTCAACAAAAAATTTAATAAGAAATATAAATGTTTTTTATAAACAAAAACTAAGCTAGCAAACGCTATACAAATGCTAAGCAAATACTTAATTCTGCATAGAAGACAGTAACAAGCTTGGAAAGCAACAAATGGTATCCAAAATTACCTTTGCTTGCTTACACTTTCTTCATTAACTGACTGCAACTGAGAGCGCAAAACTCCCTGCAAGGATGTCCTCCATCAATTATTGTCAACCATTCAAAATTTTAACAGAGAAGATGAAAAAACACAAAGATATTGATAACGATAACCATTATATAGAATACAAATGATAAAAATTTAGTTCAAATTTAGTTGCAGTTCTGCCAATGATTTAAAAAGAAATTAAATGAAAGGAGTTGTATAACGTAAAGTCCAGCTTATGTTCTTTTATTTATAATGTCTTGAATTGGCATCAGCATAATAAGCCAATGCATGGGGTTGACAAAATAAGCTAATATTACAATAGATTTAGGATTCAACCTTCCAAGTTAACAAGTCTAATTGAATAACTCATTTTCAGTTCAATAAAACTGTTAAAAACAGTTATCAAACGCCAACTGGATAGATATAGACAAATAAAAACGGTCATTTAGCAGATGATTAATAAATAAAAAACAGAAATATAACAGTAACCGGAAAATCATGGAAGGTGATAAATAAGAAATCCCGCATTCATGTATATGAGCTTAATATGATAAATCAAGATGGGGGAGGGGATAAACCTTTTCTCTTTCAATACTTTGTAACCTTGCTTGTGCTCGCTCAACCTCATCCATGAGAAGATCGAGTTCTGCTTGCTTTGCAGCTCTTTCTTCCTCTACAATGAAAGTTTGAGGTTTTATTTTTTTCGCTAAGCATGCCTAAATTCATTACAGATTCAGCCGGATTAAAGAATAAGAAATGACAGAGCGCGCTTTAATCCATTAATGCTCCGAAGAAATCTTTACCAGACTGGGCACGGAGTTCAAATAACTGACTTTGGGCAAATTCATGTATCTTCTGCATATTTGTGACACTTTCCTTGGCTTGTCGTAGTTGTTCTTGTAATAGATGTTCCCTGTTATAGTGACAGTACACAAAAAGTCTAAGGCGCCAGAGAGTAAAATGGAAGGCCAATCCTTGGCAAGCTTAGCCTTTTTTTTGTTAAATACAGAACTACCTTTCTTTTAGAACCTCCAAAGTTTTCTCATGCCGATTTTCTTCAGCCAGGCTTCGCTGCCTGATCTCAACAATCTCCTTGACCTTCTCTTCCATCTAAGTACCCATTAAAAGATCATATTTTCAAATCACACGACATAAAGATGTTTTATATTGGTTGTAGATAGCCTTTATTCTTTAATGTAAATGTTGTTTGGATGCAATATAATATTACCATCCATGTAATCTTCATGCTAGAAATCCACAATGAACAAGGATTTCCCAAATCAAATTGATTCATTCCAAGTTAAAATATAACAATCAATTGTAGGTTACAAATAAATCAAAAATAATAGTTGCAGAGAAAGTGGTAACCAAGAAAATAAGTTTAGCAAATGCGTCAAACATGAAAGCTACCTAACCTGTTGCTCCAGTTGCCGATTCCGCTCTTCAAGTCGTCTTATTGTAGCTTGTTGGTTCTTTAAATGTGTTGCTTCAGTCCTATATTCTTCTAATTCAAGCTTCATTTTTCGATTTTCAGACTCAAGTTCTGATAGTCTTTGCTCTTGCTCCTGTAGCAATCAAGAGAGGAGAATAAAAGAACTTATTCACATTTAATCAGATGATTGAACATGAGAATAGACTATTAATGTTTAGTTCATATTCATTAACAAACACAACTCAAGGTGCTTTGGACATGTCTCAGTGCAAATAAGGATGAAGGTTTACAAGTCAATGGGAAAACAAGAAAGGAAACGCTAAACCATAACACTTAACTGCAATAGAAGAAAGAACGGGATAAGGATCTGGGGCCTCATAAAGTTTCTGATAAATGTTAAGGAAAGCATTTTCTCCAAATTTGGCTCTTTTAGTTAGATTATCAACTTCTTCCTGATAGCCCTTCAGTAAGGAGTTAAACAAGTTGAGTTTTTCCTCTGATGATGCCTTCTTGAAATCTGTAAAGAGGTAAAATTTGATGAAGTCAGATTCCTTGGGAGAGTAACGGCTCAAAGTGCTTTTTACGAGAAACATCTAAGTACATAATTACATAGTCCCTACAAAAAGAAAGAGTGCAAGATACTTATAAAAACATGTCATTACCATACCTCGAGTGTTCTCTGCAAGCTTCCGCCTGTTCTTCTGAATAATCTCCTGGTTTTCAGCAATCCTGAGCCCCTGCTCATCAAGAACACTTCTTTCTTTTTCGAAGTCGAAATCTGCAATTTAAAAGAGTTTTGGTAAAATAAAAATACTTATGGTGATCAAAGAGCACAAAGAGAACCACGTAAATAGTTCAATGGACAAATGCAAAGTATGTCTGCATCATCTATTGAATAAATAAGAAAGTTATAGCTATTAAAACATTATGTTACATATATAGATGGAAGGACAGTAAAGACACTTGTTGAACGTATTGTCGTGCAGTTAATATACTCTTTAAGATTTCAATATACAAATGGCTAAAATCTTATGTAATTAGTCACGCAATAAAGTTAAGCAGTTGATACCAGCATAAAAACCTGCAACATAAAAAATCAATAAAAGAAGTTCGGTCTATGCTTAGAACAAATGAAATATTGTCATGCAAATAATGAGGTTGTCAATAAGGCCGAGATTTGTTTCCGGGAATATGCATTTGCATTAACATATCAAAAGGGTTATAAAAAAACTATTTTGTATGCGTCTATGATGTACAAAAAAAGAGAACTGTCATCTACAAGTATCATAGAAAGTTTCTTATCAACATAGATGCATTAAAACAAAAGAACCACTAAGGGCATGCTTAGCACAAATATGAGCAGCCTTGTTACAAATTTTGTGGCGTATGGAAAAATAAAACTTGTTTAATGTTTAAAAGAAAAGCAAATTCCAAAGCCGCCAAGAGTTGTTTGCTTGAAATGTGCCTTTTGCATTACTATGACATAGAGGATTACAAAAAGTACAAAAGGGGCCTAACTTGACAAAACATGGGCCCGATCAAAATCAATAAAAGGAAAGAGGAAGTGGGAGGAGTCCACATTCCTCAAAAAAAAATATCAAGTAAAGCACTATGGGTACAAACATGTGCAACTCTATTTTTCTTTCTATCTAAATGTTGAAAGAATACTTGTTTAAAAGCAGTCAAAAAAGAAATAGCTTCAACGTATTGCGGTTTGGTCATCCAAGCCTTACCTGAGCTGGCTTGTTGTTTCCAGTAAGAACGAAGAAGCCAGTTGTTGTACAATGAAAAATGCGGACAAGTATTTATGAAAATAGCTATAGAGAAGTAGTTTATTGATTAAATGATTAGGCTTTTAGAAAATATGATTGTATACAACAAAAATGCCAACATGAATCTCAAAGGGATCGAGCGGCTATGAATGGAGACCCAAGCAATCGAAGTTCAAAACTAAAGACCAGGATGTCGACTAGCCTTGCAGTCGACCGATTACACAACAAAATCGACCGACAAACTTATCGACCGACAGACCTATCGAACGACGGACCTCTTACCGAAATCGGTCGGTTTCCTTGATGATAGATTGATCCCCTCGATGGAATCGATCTGATATATGCGGTCGATTGAAATAACCATCCAAGGCCAAAGCATCTGGCGGTTGATAACATTATATTTATTTTGTATTATAATGTATTTTTCACATAACAAACACGTCGATTCAGTTATTTGGGCGATTATTATGATTGTTCTCTCTTTTGCGTAACTGTACTTTTAGACTTCTATAAGTAGGAGGTTAAGACATAAATGAAGGGACTTTCCACACACTCTCTATATCTCTCAACTCTGACTCTTTTCTCCCCTCTCAGCTTTAAATCTCGGGGCATGTATTCTGAATGAAAAGTTAGGATTCAACAATGGCATTGATAACCCATAATTAAGGAGGTGCTTCGCCATACATCAAATTTGAGACCGAGTTTTTTCCATGAAGTGGAGAATAATGAAGTTTTTAATTAATATTTGTACTGTTTCTAGACCAAAAATTACCCATAACCTTAATTAATTATAGTTCCCAAGCATCAATCACCTCATTACTGAGACGTAGTTCAATTTGGTGTTGCAAAAGGCTTAAGATGGACTATTTTGAGTGAGCAAAAGATGTGCTGGTAAGAGAATCCTCTTACTTAGATAAATGCATTCCCAATATAATAGGTGAGTGATTCTCGAATTGTTATAGGTGGTGAGCAAGTTTCCATGATGTTGGGTGAGTCAATCCTCACTTCTCATATAATTTCTCCTTCAGATAAACGAAAGTTCCTCTTCCCACATGTCCGCATGTTTGCAATTATGCTCTTTTTTCTTGCCAACATCATTAAAGATTAAAATTTATATTTTGAGAGTGAAACACTAAGGATGCAAAAACCAAAGGACACCAGAAAATCATCTCTATATATGCAATTCATTGTTTCAGTTATATTCCTAAGTTAGCATTCAATGAAACTCTTATCTCAGTATAATATTTGTAGGGTTTTGTAGATTTAATTTCACTGTAGAAGGCAATTCTCTAAACCTGTTGCTTTTTTGAGGATGCAATTCAACATATTGGCTCGATGTGGCCATAGGCATTTCATTGCTACGAAAACTAGGCCTCAAGCTATGAGCTATGGAATTAGAATTTTGAATTTCTCGAGAGTGTGTGGAGGTTTGCATTTGAGGTTTTTTTAAACCTTGTGAAGTTCGTTGCTTGATTTTTAGTGGATGGCCAATTCAGCAGTGCCTCACATTTTTTTTCCATTCTATTTTTTTATCTGACCTATAATTTATTCCAATGTCGTGCAGAATTTTAGATGTTTGTGTACTTTTCCTTGGCCTGAGAGAGAGGTCTTTAGTGATTTTCACCATGGAAAAGTTTAGAAGGCTGAACTTTGAAAGGCTGTGCTGAAGTATATTGGGCTCCTAATCCTGCAAGGAAGGCATGTTTTTTGGAAATATGTGGGCTAATTTCATATTATACATAATATTGCCTTTTGACAGTTTTTGACTGAATTTTTTTCTACAATAGGATGGAAAAATGGAGGAGAAATTTATGATGGAACTCTAACTCTATTCTCAGGGACTACATCATGGAATGATTTATATTGAGGCTTTTTGAAAACAACCTTCCAGCTGAGCTTTCAAAGCTGTCCATTGTAGATGGATCTTTAACATATTATCAAAAAAAAGGAGAGGCACAGCTGAATCGTCCCTCTGCTAAAAATCAAGCATCTAACTTCACAATTTTAAAAAGCCCAAACGGAAACCCCCACAGACTCATCAGAAATCGAATGTTCTAATTCCATATCATAGCTTAAAGCCTAGTTTTCGTACCAATGAAACGTTGAATTGCATCCTCAAAAAAGTAACCGGTCGAGAGAACTCACTTTTACACTACAAAACCTAAAACCAAACCACCGTCAAATATTACGATTGCTTCGTCGTCCAGAGCGGTTCCTACCAGATCCAAGGTAAACATTAGATCATACCTCAACGCCTTGCACCGAAGAGCACGCTACCCGAACTGAAACAGATCATAACCCAACTAACACCAAGATCCTATCTACCAGAAAAAGCTCCGCACAGTAACTCTACTTGGATTTCCATTGTTAAGAATTCTAAATTTAAACTCAATTTGGGTGCGCATGAGATTGTAATCAATGTCGGAGACAGTTTGATCCGGATTCAAAATACCTTTCCAGAAGCTGCATACGACGGCAATGGGTGAGGAGGTGGTTGCTTTCTCTCTCTCCGATCCCGCATGGCTCGACTCCATCGCCGCGAGGGAGCAACTCGAATTCCGAGACTGCGATTCTCTCCTCTCCTACTGTGAATTACGCGAGATCGCTTCCGTTGGGGTTACGAAGTGCTAATTTCTTCTGATAGCGGCGGAATTGATTTCACCTTAAAGCCGACCACCCTAGCATTGCTGCTGGATCAACTTTGGCTCATAATGGAATCGAGCTGGTTCATTCTGGTTGGGCTAGATCGAAATTCATTGATGAAAAATAACTAACAAAATTTACTTAATCATATAATTCATACAAATATAATTTTAAAATAATTCAATGAGATAAAGAGTAAAATTATTTGATATTACTTATAGATTGACAATATTTTACACTTATGGATTACAATTATATTTTAATGATGCATACCTTAACACTTACTAAAATTATTTTTTTCTTGCAACATTTTATATCATTTTAATTGAATATGAATTTGTCCGAGAGCCACGTCTCAAAATAATAAAGCGTAAGCTGGAGAGAAAGAGGCTGAGAGAACAACAATGAGAAGTAGAAATGTTGTCTTATTCATAAATTGATATTCTACTTACAAGAGAGATGATACAATAAAGTGTTATTAGACTATATGCATCAAATATTTCTTTCATGTGAAAGAGAGAAATATGATTGGATGTTGTTTGAAATTTTTAATGTTCAAAATGAGCTCGTGTTCAAAATAGCTAGTGAATGCCTCTTGTCCGCTTTTGGCTTAACTTATGTTCAAATTGTTGGGATTTTTTCTTTAGAATTCCCAAATTAATTAAAACTCTAAATTAATTTCAATACCCTTTGGAATTCCCAAATTAATTTCAATACCCTTTGGAATTCCCAAATTAATTTCAATACCCTTTGGAATTCCCAAATTAATTTCAATACCCTTTGGAATTCCCAAATTAATTTCAATACCCTTTGGAATTCCCAAATTAATTTCAATATCCATTGAAATTCTCAAATTAATTTCAATAACCGTTGGAATTCTTTGATGTTTTTGAGAGAAATAATTTTCAGAATGTGGTTCATATAGTGTCTAAGTTCAACAGATGAATTTAGTAACATTCCATAATGTGGTCACATCCATTGAACTCTGTGATGGGCAGAGTACTATAAATTAGATGTGATGTTTGCTGTTTTGGTCCCTAAGCTTGTTTCTCTTCATTTTATTTGCACCATCGGTTTGTGAGTGAGAAAAGCTTAGAAGATCTATAACAGAAAATTTATCGTGTGAGTTCAGAGTTTCGACTCTGTTCGTTTAAGTTATGGCTGGAGGTATGTATGATCCTATCTCGTTTCCGCTTATCGATTTAAAAATTAATTTTGTAAATCGAATATGGTATTTAGAATTTTTTTTACACAAATATGCTTGTATTAGCTCATGTTCGATTTTATTTTGAACTACACATACTTCCTTATTTTAATTATTTCAGTTCATAATAGCTTATGTTCAATTCCATTTTGATGCACACAACTTACATAATTTATTTATTTCAGACCCTCAATAAAAATATTGTTTTAAAATATTCCAAATTAATAAGAATTATGATTTTTTTTTCGCTTACTATTCAATTGCTTCGAATTACCGTCCATTTTGCTTCGAAAATTTCAGTGCTAAATCGAAAATAAGATTACGTTGTTGATCGATATTATCCGCCGCAGAAATTAATGTAATCTGATGATAATATGTATCGTTACATGTTTTCAGACACAATTATCGACACACGTGTGCACTAAACAAAGCTGATGTTACTGCGATTCAAAAAATGACACAACTTATTTATGTCAGTAAATTTCAGCTTAAAATTGATGTAATTAACATTACCGACCTCCCAATTTACCTGCAAGAAAATATGAACATAAATCAGTCGCAAATTCAACGATAAAACTGAATGTCAATACAAAACTTAGCTGCTATATTTGTAAATACATGAGAATTATGTGGCATGTAAGTAAATTGAATGCATATAACTGCAGTCCCTCCAAATGTAGAGAAAAAATTAACGTCCAATCATAAGAAGCCAGTTCGGCGCAAACAAATACTTCATCACAACTATCGTATTTATTAATACATCAACATAATGATTCCAAACTAAGAAACAAGAAGCACAAAACATGCAATTAATATATTATTATTGCATCAAAACCCAACGGATGAGCAGGAACAAATCTACATTAAAAATGTTGCATGCCTGCAGCCACTATCCAATATATATACATGTTACCTTCGAGTCCTGACAGAGAAAGATCTGACCCTCGACAAAGAATTTCGTTCAGCCTCAACCTTCAAAACCCTTTCCTCCAACCCTATTACTTTTCTTTTGAAGCTTCCACCACTGCTGTAATGGCCTTCTCATTCACCTCTTCAAGCTCATCCTCTTTATCTCCATCTTCATTTGTAGAGTCTAACTGGCCCATTTTGCCTTTCAAATCCATCTCTCTCAGTCCTGCAAAGTTCTGAGCTCTGTTCACCGGCACCCGTGCCTTGGAGGCGAGCCTCATCACCTCTTCATCATTATCATTACTCTCATCATTTTCGTTCTGAATCTCTTTGCCTCTCGAATTCTCTGGCTTCTGCTTGCGTGGATTGCTGGAATGATCTCCAATTCTCTCTGATTCTGATCGGTAGAGTTCTACATCGGTTCTGGCTGCGACTGCCGGCTCTGAGGCATCTAGCGCTGCACTTCCTGCATCCTCGTACTTTTTCTGAGCCATTATTTCAAGCTTTTCACCTCCCAGCGGCTCACGTAGACCACAGGGAGAGCATAGTCGACCCAATGCTTCTCTGGCCTGCTGCGTCCTGCTCTGAAGGTTGGGGTTCTGAAACAACTAAATTTTTGTTAAGATTAGGATGTAAGAATGGATGGTGTGTTAATTTTTTACCACAAATCCCCTAAAGTAGGTCATTTATTTTAATGATAAATATCAATTAATTAATTAAATTATATTAAATCATTTTGATCAGTAACCTCTTATAGATGGTAATTACTAGCATAGATCATTTACTTTAATATAATTTAATTAATTAAATTATATTAAATCCTTTTGATGAGTAACACCCTTATGAATGATGATTACTACTTATATCAATAAATTAATTAAATTATATTAAATCCTTTTGATCAATAACCCCCTTATGGACGGTGATTACTAACATGTGTGATTTACTTTAATAATAAATTTCAATTAATTAATTAAATTATATTAAATTTTAGTGGATGGTAGTTAAATAATGCATGAATCCAGAGAAGAGTCATCTCTCTTCCTAACGCATGCTGTATTTTTCTTTCTATCAGAAAGTACAAAAATTTTTAGCGGATTTGAGAGAGAAACTCTATCTTCTCAGATCTAATTTTACAATCATGAATACAAATATGTTATTCTTATTTATGAATATGTAAAAGCAATGAATTCAAAAATTTTAGTCATTATGTGTTTATGAATTCGCATTAAAAAAAAAATACTAACATAGGACTCAATCTCCTCAGGAGTTTCGGCTAGATCCACCTCGATGCCTCTCTCAATTGCTATTTCTCTCATGACATGGACCCTGATTTCCATGCTTGGCCGTCTTGTAGAAAACTTATGTACCAGCTGAAATAAAAAAAAAAGAATGAAGAAAAAAAATTATGATTCTTTAAAAGGGATTTCTGCTTAATATGACATACAAAATGCTGATCATTTATTATGTATTTACATATCTGAGATATAAATTTTGCTTTTAATATCTATATAACCGAAATCTTTCAAATCACATGAAGAATATCATCATTTTAACATCTTAAAACTGAAATACATATTTTCATTCTTAGCTAAAGTGATATCTATGTAAAAATTAAATTTTAGTTGTTGAATATGTAAATATAAATTAATCGTTTGGAATGCGTGTAAATCTTCCATTTAGTTTTTATTTGATGGTTTATAGTTGATTTTTTTTAACTATGATTTATTTTACATCATCAAAAATCACTTCGACAGAAGAAAAAGGTAATGATAAAAGTATACAGTAGTTTTATCAATGATTTTTTAGTTACCTCACCACTGACACCGCAATTATTGCGCAGCACCACAGCCGCAGTTGTGAATTCCCTTCCGAATCTTGACCTGAAGATGCGGCGTATCTCTCTCAACTCCGGCAAATCACCACACCGTAAGGCCGCATAAGCCAATCCAACAACCGCCTCACGCAGCTCCTGCGGACACTCTCTGCTCCACAAAATATCACAGTAAGCCCATCTACACCATGAGACCACAGCATAGAAATCAGAAATATTACTTCTGTTTGTTTAAGAGGAAGGCGCGGTCTTTAAGCAGGTGGCAGTAGCTCTCCACCATGGCGAAGCCGTCGAGCCATATTGCGCTCTTTGATCACCGTCTCCGCCTGCACATAAAACGCAAAATTGATTATGTTGAGAGAAGGGGCAAACAATTAAGAAGCTGAGAGCTTTGAAAATATTTACGAACGGGGATGAGGGCGCGATCACGGTGGCCGCGGCGGAGGTGTTCGGCGACATCATCTTCGGCTTCAGCGCACCGGGTTTTGCCCTGTCTGCGGAGGTGGGAAAGACGGCCAGACGGTGAGGTCGAGGAGAAACTCCAGGTTCTTTGAGGTTCTCCTGCAGAGAGCGTCCAGGCAGCACTTCCACATTTTCCCGCTGTTTCACAGAAGAATAGAGGAGACGATTTTCAGAGGCAGTTTAAGATTAGGATGTCAAATCAGATTGGCCGACAATAATTATAAAAAAAAAAACTTTTTTCCGGATTTTGATAATTTTTTTCATTCGATAGGTTTTATTGAGGTGTGAACCAGCAACCGAACACAGCTTATTCATGTTCTTCATTGGCCCGACACATAGCTCAAGTTCCTCATAGGGCCGAAAAAAAGGCACTCATCTTAGAAGAAGACAAAAAGTGACAGAGGAATATTTGGACTTTTAACATTATTTGAAACGTGTATAAGTTAACTTCCTCCAAAGTGAGGCGGCTGCTAATACAATTATGAGATCTGCATATCTTCCATATTTTCGTAGCTCAAAAAAGTTCGTCTTTCAACTTTTTCTATGGTGGTGATAAATCAGGATCTAATATTTCTAAAATATGAATTAATAGTTATAAAATTTATCACACTTAAAATTTAAAAATTATCGCTGAACACTATTTTCTAAATAGAAAATTCCATATTACAGCTGTTCGAATTTCTGCTGGCCCTACGGCTGCATTCATTTTTCTACCAGTCGTTTTCCACACCCTTTCATAATGTTCAAATGTAATTGACCTTTCTATTGAGTCATTTTCCACACCCTTTCATGAAGCTCTACTGTTCCAGCTAGATTATGATCCTTATTAATGAGAGGACATACTTTTTGTTGGGACGGACAAATTGGATTTGATCGATTCACGGAAAACAAAGTAATTCAAGAGATTTTGAACAAAAATTGAATAGAAACGTATGGTACAAGAAATTCAGAAAACACACAATATTTAACATGAAAAAATCTGAGAACAAAAAAGAAAACTACTTGAGTCACACCACACAAAAAATTCTACTATGAAAATGAGAAATGTATTGAATTGAACTGTTGTGAAAAATGATTGCGAGAAAGCAAAAAATTGACGAGAACATTTTAAAACAACAGGGCGACATATATATTTACATGGTTCTACAAATTATTTACGTCCACAGAGTTACAGAGGATTTTATTACTTTAAGGATTACACACTGTCGATCTTGTCGACTTACAAGAATGTCCTTTCTCTCTTCCTCTCTCTCTCTCTCATCACATTCTCTCTTTCTCTCTACCCTTGAGCCACACAGCAGAAGAACAAAAAGGGGAGCAACTAGACTTGTGATTCCCTTTCTCTTTGGCCCGTGAGCAAGAACCAAAGCAACACAGAGGGAAGAAGCCACACTCCTATCGCTGAAGAGAAGATACACGCTAAAGGAGAAGTTATGTCTAACGGTGGACTTCTTGCATGCATTTAAATCTTCCTATTCGGCCCAACAAAGGCAAGCCTTAACCGCGAAATATGGAAGAATCAATCGAACGGGATTTCGGGCCAAGTAAAAATAACAAGGATTTAATATTTCTTGCCTTAATTCACAAATCCAGAAGAGGAAGACGAAAGAGCAGAATCAGGGAAACAAATACATATATTTAAATACATCAAATACATTATAAATATGCAAAACTGTTAATTAGAGGAAGTGGACCGAGCTCCACAATACCCACAATTCTCCCAACTTAGGGACTGAACCACTAGCTGCATCGTCATTTTCCTCAAACGTGATATTCTCCACATCTGCAACTCAAAGTCCATGTCTTCAAGCTAGAAGAGCAACTGAAGTTGTGCACAGCTTCGGCCTCTCAAGTGTAACATAGTTAGTCAACATAACAACAGGATTCTTGCTTCCACAAATTTTCTCAAGTAACAATTGTCTGTCATCTAACAATGGCCGTATGAAGTGATATCTGATCTGAATGTGTTTGGTCAATGACTGAAATGTTGGATTCCTGGCAAGGAATATGACGCTATGACTGTCCCTGTAGAGAATGTCATTTTGAACCTCTTTATCTAATTCTTCGAAGAAACTTTGTAGTCATATCATCTCCTTTACAACAACTGACACTGCAATGTACTCAACTTCTGTAGTAGACAATAAAACTGTCTTCTGTTGATTTGAGCCTCATGACACTGCAGTACCACCAAAGGTATAAACATAACATTTAGTGCTCTTTCTGATGCCAATGTATCCAGCTAAATCAACATCAATATAACCCTGTGCCTCCAAGTTCTTTCCTGAGAAACACAACCATGTTTCTGAGGAGACTCTTAGGTATCTCAAGATCCACCACACAACTTCCTAATGTTATTTCTCTGGATTACTCATGTATCTGCTCACGACTCCCATTGCATAGGCAATAACCGGTCTTGTACAAACTATATCATACATAAGTGAATCAATAACTGAAGTGTAAGAAACCTTACTCATGTGGTCTAGTTCCTCCTCTGACTTGGGTGACTGATTCTTGCCAAGTCCATATTGAACCTGTTAAGTACTTTTTTCACATACTCTACCTGTGAAAGCCTCAACGTACCTCTGACCCTGTCTCTGACAATCCTCATGCCAAGGATTTGTTTTGCAGCTCCCAAATCATTCATTACAAAGTGTTTTAACACCTACTTTTTCAGATTATTGATCTCATTAATACAGACCCTTGCAATAAGCATGTCATCTACGTACAACGGTATAATAATATAAGAATTATCAAAATCCCTTATGTCGCAACAGTAATCTGTGTGACATCTGATGTACCATGCATTTTGCATGAAATTTTCAAATTTCTTGTACCACTGTCTAGGAGCATACAAGCTCTTCTTCAGTCTGTAAACTGAATCTTCCTTTCCCTGTACTGCAAACCACTCAGCCTGGTGCACGTAGATATCTTCTTCAAGGTCTCCATGAAGAAAAGTCGTCTTCACATATAACAGCTCTCGAAATAAATCTTCGGTAGCAACCATAGCCAGTACCATCCAGATGGTTGTGGTCCTCACCACAGGAGTAAAGATCTCAGAGTAATCATTGTCCTGCTTCTACTGAAAGTTTTTTATAACAAGTTTAATATTGTACCTCTTACTGTTATCATGCTCAGCTTTCACTCAGTACACCCACTTGTCGTGCAATTACTTCTTCTATGGTAGAAGTTTTGTCAGCTCTCGTGTCTGATTTCCCATCAGGGAATCCATCTTCTCAGTCATGACTAGCTCTCACTTGCTAGAACTTTCATCTTGTAATTTTTCTTCATAACTCTGCAGTTCTTCACCATATGTCAGCATAGTTCAAGGTTGGTGAGTAACGCTGTAGAAAACATATATTCCCGACTGACCTACGAACTGTAGCGGTAGCGGTGGACGAATTTGAAGCTGACTGTAGAACAATAGAAATGGGTGCCCTGGACTCATTCTCCTCATCACTTCCATCACTGCCCTGTACAGTAATCTCTAGTATATCATCAAGCCTTACCAATGATACACCTTAAAATGTGTTACTTTGTATATACATTTTATTATCATTTTTTAAGATATTGCACTTTAATGAAATGTATTTTTGTGTTTTTTATTGCACATACAAAAGATGGAGCTTAAAAAGCAAAAGGAACAAAATTGTAGCAAAAAGAGGTGAAATGGAGCAAACATTGACCTAGAGCAAAGATGTGGTGCCTACGCGCCAGGTAGTTACCAAGGATTTCTAGAAGGTTGGCGCCTAGGCGCCAGAGATGGTTTTGGGTTTTATCCATTGAATTTGGATGAATTTTGAAGAGGTGCATGAAGCAACTCCTGGTGATTTTAAGAGCTCTATTTAATAGAGCCATTGGTTGGCCAAAAATTAGAGTTTAGATTGTTGGAGTGAGTGGAGAGAGTATTTAGAGTCCCGAGTCTTGGTGTGAGAGTCTTGTGTGTGGGTGTGTGAGTTAGATTCCCGCGAGTGTCTGTTTTAGAGTGTTTATTGGAGGAAGAAGACAACAAAAAAACTCCAAATGATTTGCTAGAGGAGAAGTCTAAGATAAGAATATTGTATTTTTGTTTAAGTTTAATTTTATTGTGTAGACTTGGCTTTTAATATATATTATGTTTTGTTGTGTTATCTCCATGAACTCTGAATAGTTTTCTTATCTTTTTCCATACAATAAGACTTAATCATGCGTGGGAAAAGAATGGTTTAAAGACTTCATTTATTTCAAAATTGTGATGGTATTTTCACCGGCTCTTACTTTACTTTGCAAACCGGTTATTTGTAATGTTGAAATTTGTTGTGAAACATAATGATTCAAAAAGATTATATGATTTCACCCAACTAGTAAATACCACACTAAACTAAGGATGAAGGAGAACTAAGTTTTAGAGGGAGTGCAAATAGATAAAGAGATAAGTTTTGATTAGTATAAATTTGATGTTTTTATGGTGACAAACTAGATTCTTAACCAATTTGGTCTAGAGTTAGAACCTAAGACCTGATTAGTCTTATAGGGAGGGCGCAGTGGGTAATCTGAAAGTGAGAGACTAGAACCTACCCAACATAATCATATCAATTAGAAACTTACTTTAGATTAGTCAATGTTCTTTATGCACCCGAGAGATGGTAAATAATAAATATGCTCTTATTTGTCGCAATACAACATTTAAACCTTTAAACTTTTGATTACTACGTTGATTATGATCTCTTTCAAGAAATTTTTTTTTTTTCATATTATTTAAACTCCTTTAAACAAATTTAGCTTGAAAATCTGCATTTACTTTCTGCCTAAAATTAAAATTAGTAAATATTTAGTTTTAACATTTTACAAACATTTGGACGCTATTTTCCTAAATAATGAGTTTGTTGTTAGGGTAGAAGTTTTTTTAAGTTGTTATATAAAATATGTCCTATGTGAGTTCGATACTGGGGTTTTTTAAAAAAAACTCTATATTACTTGAAATAATATTTATACTTGTATAATATCCCTAATGTGTAAGTCATTAATCAAAATTATAAATTCTATAACATATCTATTTTGCATACTGGCTGTTAGATATTAATTGGATCAAGTTTTTTGTCGTCATTTGGAACTTAATTAACTGTGATATTGCGGGTGGGGCATCAAGTTTTTTGCGCCAT